CAGGCCTTGTGCCGTGGGTTGTATCATCGCTGCCCCAGCAAAGGTGACTGCTCTGCTCCTGAACCAGTCCTGAGGGAGGCAGGGCCTGTGTGGAATTTGAAACTGAGTCAGGTGACTAACTGAAATTAGGAACCATTGTGCCCTGGGTTCAGCTCCAATTTATAGCCCTTTGTCCTCTTTTCCTCCCCAACCTTGTCAGCCAGGCCTTAGGCTGGGCTTCTGACAATCTTTATTGCCTCACTTGCATGTTATCACCATGCCTAACTGTGTGCTTGCACGTCGAAGGCTTTGTACTAGCTCTGGGGATGCAGTGGTGAACAGAAAGGACACGGCCCCTTCACTCACCAAGTCACAGACTAGAGGCAGAGGCAGACAAGGCAGCCGGTGGTTATGATACAGTGAGGGAAGCACCAGGCTGGGATGCTGTGGGACGTGGACCATGGCAGTCCCTCCGGCCCCGGGGGGTGGGGTGGGAAACTTTGTGCAGCACATCCAGTCTTTCCCCTCCTCCCCCACCCTCACCTCCTCCTTCTTCCTCTCTCTCCCCTTCTCCTCTGCATGCCTATTATTTAAGAGCTACTGTTCCAGGTGTTATGTGGAGTTGGTTCTGGATTTCTGTGACCCCTCTCAGCAGGTCCTGGGCCATGTTTTGGTATAAGTGAAGTCTATCTTTTCCCGTGTCCTTATGCTTTTGTTTCCCAACCACCCGGGAACTCTGTTCCCTTCACTGCCTACTGGTTGTCCCTCATTATCCCACTCTACCGTGGCCTCTCCCTCTAGGAAGTGCCCCTAGCCTCAGTATTACCTCTAGCTCATGTCTGCCTACTTTCAAATCAAAACTGGTGTTTTCCCAGGACCTCCCGACAGGTGCACTGGGATTAAACTAATTCTCTTTATTTTCCTTACCCTCTGTTGTGGGTTGAACTGTGTCCCCTTAAAAGTTGTGTTGAAGTCCTAACTCCTGGCACCTGTGAACGTGGCCTTATTTGGAAATAGGGTTTGCAGATACAATCAAGGTAAGATGAGCTCATGCAGGATCAGGGTGGGTCCTAATTCAGTGACTATCTTTATTAAGAAGAGGGATATTTGGACACAGATGGAGACACAGGGAGAGTGCCAGGAAGGAGGCAGAGATCAGAGTGATGTGCCCACAAACCAAGGAAAGAGTAGGCAAGGAAGGATCCTCCCCTAGAGCCTTCAGAGAGAGCACAGCCCCGCCTACACCTTGATTTAGGACTTCTAGCCTTCAGAACTGTGAGAGAACAAATTTCAGTTCTTCTAAGTCACCCAGTCTGGTGTTTTGTTATGGTAGCCTGAGGAGACTAATACATCCTGATGAATGTATTTACTTATAAAGACAGCTAGATGTCTAATTCAGGGAATTCCAGGTGTATGTCCCCTTCTCTGCGAATTGTCTTTACCTATAGTCCTTGCTAAATCCTTTGGTGATCATGGCAAAAACAAGCTACTCATCACAGCTGACTGGTCAGGGTAGATAAGTGACTGAGGGCCATCTGAGCCATTGAATAATAACCAAATGGATTATTTTTCTCAAAAGTCTGAATGAGGAGGCATACAGACAGTGACTAGCAGGTGCCAGGTCTGTAAAATCTTGTAGCATTGGTGTCAATGTCACATGCAGGCAGATGTTGTGGGGAAGTAGGAACCATGAAAAAATAGAAGGAACAGGACAGATATCTAGAGGCACAGAGACAAGAGAGAGAAAATAGTGACCCTGGCTACCTTAGTTCTTGAGAGCATCTCAGTGCTTAACTCTAGTCTCACAAAAGACTTTGAAGTAGGTAATAGGGAGCCACAGAAAGTTCAAGGGAGGGGCAGAATTTCACTCTATCATTTTACTCAGCATTCTGCCCCTCCTGCCGTCTCACCTACTACTGCCCTTGCCAATAACCCATACCTCTAGTGGTCAGATTCATCAGGAACTCAATGGCTTTGGGAATGAACTCGGTGTCTTCTGCTTAGAAAATCCAGATTTTGTCTGGATTCACCAGCTAACCAAAGCATGGTGTGGAATTCTTTCATTTAGAAACCGAGATGACAGTTAACCAGTTCAGCCTCTGATGGGCCCTTCTTGTATATTCTTGAACAACTTGTACCACAGCAAGCCAGCTTGGCCAGTTACCATGGACACCACTCTGTTACTATAACTGGAGCCCGACAGGCAGCCACTAACAGCAGATTTAAACAGGGTCTTGTCCTCTAGTGAAGGCAGAGCTGAGGGAAATGTCGCCTTTCTCACTAACATAGTTTAGTGTGCAGGATAGGGTGGTGGAGGAAAGAGAAGGACATTTAGTTTTATCAAATGTCACAACCCAATGTCTAGTGAAATAAGGAGTAAATATTGGCCAGTGGAACATTGGTCATATTTCCTATAAAGTCATGAATATTCCAGAATTGGGTCATGATCAATGTTAAGGCGGAGTTCTCCCTAAGATCTCAGGTTTTCTCAGTTGCCTTTGTACCTAGTAACAGCTAACATTTATATAGCACTTACGGCATGCACATTACACACAGTCATTTATTTCATCCTTACAACTACTCTATGAAGTAGGGTCTATTATTATTCCCATTTCGCAGATGAAAGCATGGAGGCTCAAAGTGGTAAAGTTTCTTGCTAAGAAAGTGAGCCTCTAAAACTCATGTCCCCCCTTGATTCCCCCAAGTATGCAGGAATTTGAAAATACCTTTGAAAAAATACCTGCATGAGGTTTTGAAAGGCCCTGAACTTGTAGCCAGTTCCTAGACCCTGAACTTAACTCCTGTCACATAGGACATAGACAGCCCTGCCCTTGTCATTGGATGTTCCGGGCCTGGGCTCTTCCACAGGCTTTAGCCTGATGCCTGGGTGCAATTGCTAAAGCTCCCTGAGCCCAAGTCTATAAAATGAGAGGCTAATCCCTGCTTTGTTTACTTCACAGGGATGTTATGAGTCTCAGTCTAAAAGAAGCAAGGGTATTTTGCAAACTGTATAGAGCCATCAGTGGGATTCTTTAGCTCAAGTCAACATTTTTTTGAGCATTTAGCCTGGTTTGGGAAGTGTGCTAGGTGCCTGGAATATAAATAAAAATGAATACTATAGGGTTGTTTATTCATTCAACAACTGAGTAATGAGTGGCTGCTAGGGACTAGGGACTGGGTTCTGTGCGATGAATTGTATCTATGGCTGAGACAGGGCAGGTCCCATACTCACAGAACTGTTTATGGTACGTAGAGAAGATAGATGTTCAAAACGTGAATTCAACAATGTTCCATGGGAGCTGTTAGAAGAATTATCGGTGCTATGGGGCACTTACCAGGGTCCTATCCTGGTCTGGGAGTCCAGGAAGGTCTTCCCGAGGAAGTGATACTTAAGTGTCTTCCAGGAGCACAGAGACTAGGGGTGATAGGTATATAAACCCATAAATACAGAGCTGTGATGGATGGATATAGAGGACGTGGGGCAGGGCTCCTGCCATACTATACTAGGGTCAAGGTAGATTTATTACCCAATCCCGAGAGTTGCTGTCACGATTTGGATACATCCAGAAAATTTTCCATAGGAGTAGGTATTTAAACGTGTGATGACTGCAATCAGGTGACTAAGATTCAAAATAGCAACCAGAAAATACTTCCTGCTTCAACTTCTCTCTCTCTCTCTCTCACACACACACACACACACACACACACAGACACCATATGAATCAGGTTAATTTGCAAGTAAAAATAAAATGTGCCCCTTGTTCTCCTAACCCAGACCCTATTACTGTGGTTCTTAAAGCATCTTATTATCAGATCTTGATGATTTGTATATAAACGAAGGTAAAGAGTCACTCTTTTTAACAGTAAACTTTTTCAAAGATAGAAGACAAAGATCGAGTGAGGCTTCTAAACAATCCCTGCTCTGAACCCCAGCCCTGAAAATCCACGAGGTTGGTTATGTTTAGAAAGCTGAGGCTACTTGAGGGCTTGTGAGTTAGCCATGAGTGGGTCAGAAGAGTTGCCCTCACCCTATCTTTACCGCTAATTCTCAAGGTGATCTTGGACAAGTCACTTCCCTCCCTGAGCCCCAGTTTCCCCATTTATAAATAGAGGAAGTTGGGAAAGTCCTTTTGAGCTAAGTTTATGAATTATGAAAAGAATCCTTTACCCTACCCTGTCCCCCAGGCTAACGCGAGTCCCTGGGTTACATTCTTGGCACTTTTCCTCGTTAGCACTTAACACTGTCACTTGTTCTTTAAAAAAGATCTGTTTATCTCTATCACTATCTGCCCTCCTCCCCGAAAACCTTGAACTTCTGAAGAGCAGAGGCTGTGCTGTTCACCACTGCACTCATGTATTTTAGCCTGTATCTGGCCCACGTTAGCAGCTCAATCAACATTTGTTGCCTAAAATGTTTCCAGCAAGCACTCATCCCCACCCCAGCCCTGCTGGCTTGACCAGGGAGTCTTGGGGTTTCCTACCTGGTGTCTGTGTGAATCTCTATGCTGTGTGTTTTGTTTTTTTTTAACATTCTAAAGGGTCACTTTGGTGCCAACATTGAAATAATTGAACCTCCATTTCAAAAACAAAAAATTGCCCCCTGTCCTTCCTTTCTAGGGCCACGGAAGAAACGAGGCCAGAATCAAAAGTTCAGTCAGAACCAAATCAGTTGCTGCCCGTAGTGTAACAGCAGAGATTAGTAAACCTTAATGTGGAAATTTTTTCAAAGCCAGGAATTGTTAGACATTGTGCAGTCAGCACTTCTTAGAGTGATTTATGGAGCTGAACTGCCTTTGATTTGCTTTTGTAAACGATCACTTGAGCTGTATTCATTCATTCGTCCAGTTGTTTGGACAGCACTTCTTTTAAGGCTTTACCACATGCCAGACTTGTACAAAGTATGGCGTGGGACAAAAGATTGATGTGCACCAGAAGCCCACCGCCAAGTAGAGGAAAGAGGATCTACCCAAGAACTACCTAAGAGATCAGTATTTGGAAGCCTGTTTGATTAGTGTCTGTCTCTTGCTGCTGGACAGTAAGACCCAGGGAGCCAGGAGATAGGTTTTTTTGTCTTGTTCCATATATTGAATCTCCAGTGCTGAATGGTGCTTGGTCCATAGTAGGAACTCAGTATATATTTGCAGAACGAGGAAATTAGTGTCATCTAAAAAAGATGTTAAAAAAGTGCTGTAGGGATTGAAGAGGTAGAGCTTAGTCTCAGCTGGGGACATTTCCTGATCCCTGAGGGACCATCGAGGTTAGGGTTAGTGTTCCTGCTGCTGTACTCAGGCCCATTTTACAAATGAGGAAACTGTCACAGAGAGGGAAAGTGATTTGCCAGAGTCACACAATGTTTTTGGCTGAAATTTGTTCCCCTCCTCCCCAAATTCCTCCATTGAAGTCTTAACACCTAGTACCTCCGAGTGTGACTGTATTTGGAAGTAGGATCTTTAAAGAGGTATATTAAGATGAGGTCATGTGACAGGGCCCTACTCCATTATGACTAATGTCCTTATAAAAGGAGATTAGGGCACAGACAACATGCACTGAGGGAAGATGACGTGAAGGCACAGAAAGAAGACATCTGCCAGCCAAGCAGAGAGGCCTCAGAAGAGACATCCCTACCAGCGTCACGATCGTGGACTCTGGCCTCTAGAATCATGAGAAAATAAATTCTATTGTTTAAGCCACTCAGCCTATGGTGCTTTGTTATGGCAGCCCTAAGCAAATAGATACACACAGTAAATAATGGCAAGGTTTGGATGGGAACCCAGTTCTGCAGAATCTATGCCTTAGGGCCTTTCCACGACACCATCCAGCTGGTCCACTTGGGACCCTCTGCAACTAGCCCTGCTGCTGGGGACGGTGATGATGATGATAACAGCCAACCCTTACGTAGTGCCTATTGCGTACCAGCACTCTTGTAAGTACTTTCTGTACAATAGCTCAATGAATTCTCTCGACAGCCCTGTGAAGTAAGCATTGTTATTGTTCCATTTTTACAGATGAGGAAACTGGAACACAAAGAGACTGAGCAACCTGCCCAAGTGCATCAGGCAACTCTGTGCTGGATCCGGGATTCGGACACAGGCATGGATTTGGATTCAGCTCCAAGAGCATGTTCCTACCCATCATGCTATTCTCCAGGGGTATGTCTACAAGCCAAAGGCATTTTCAAAGATGAGAGGTAATGATCACACTTTGAGGGCTCAATGGGTATGCTTTCATATAGCCACTAGTTATGGAGACACTTATCCCCATTTTAATTATCTCAGTAGAGGCATGAAACAAATGAACAGAGGGAGGCAGGAATCTTGCTAAAGAGAAGAGTGTTGAGATTTAATTGTTCCGAATCTTCTTGGGATATGTTAGGATATCAATGAAGAAGGATTGAAACAGCAGATTTCAAGCCTCAAGTTAAAAAACATCTTTTAAATCAGTCCTTGAAAGTGAAACAATCAAACCACCTCAGCCAAAGCACTACGCTGTAAGCGCCCTGGGTTTGAATCCTCCCTCTACTACTTATGACAGCTGAGTGACTTGGGGTTTATGAAATAGGTCTGAACTACAGTTTTTCCTTCTGGGAGATGGGGAAAATAACACCCATCTCACAGATGAGACATACTACATGCAAAAACACCATCAGAGTGATGATACATAGTAAGTGATAGATACACAGAGCTCTTGTTAGTTAAGTAAAATGACCACACTGAAAGGCTTGCTCCTCTGTGAAGCCTTGCCCAGTGTTTCAGTCGAGCCTGTCCAAATTAATTGCTTGCTCCTCTCGCTCTTGAGGGAAGTTTGCTTGCACTTCTATTTGTCACTCAATTTGTCCTTCCTTGCATCATAGAAATTGATGACACACCTATCCAACCACCCATCCACTTAATAAAATTGTGCCAAGCATTTTCCATGTCCCATTGTTATGCTGGATACAACAAGGTCCCACTCTCAAAGACATGGGTCTTTGGGGGCATTCAGGGTTGGGTGTGCCCAACAGGCAGGGGCACTATAAAAGAACAATAATAATAATAGTAAAAATTCACAATTACATTGTATTACAGTATTTATCATAGGAAAACCCAGCACTTTATGTGATTTCTAGACACATATTTTATGATTTAGAACTATTTTAATAGAACAAGGGAGTCATAATGTTTTCAATTCTTTTCCAATTTAACTTCCAAAGATTTGGTTTGTCAACAGATACATTAAAGAATAATTACAAAGACTGTATTAAGTGCTGGTCTAGAAAAAGCTCCAATGTTTTCTGTTTCCATTGCCCCACTAGATTTTCCCAAGAGCAGAAACCAAGCCTTCTAGCTTCATAGCTGTCCCTCAGGCCAGCTCCTTCAGTGCAGTATACAAGAAGGCCTGGGGAGTGCGGGTGGGGAGCTCTTGCCCAATTCTCCTCTAGCCTGAGAGGAGAAACTCATCTATTTTCTGTTTTGTGTGAGGAAACAGAGCCCCAGATGGTGAAAGTCTTGCCCAAGATCACAGGAGTGGAGAGTGGCAAACGTTTTAATAGTTAACATTTATTGATTCCTTCTTATGTCAAATATTGGTTGAGGGGCTTTGCATGCTTTTTCTCATTTAATCTTTCTGACAATTCTGTGAAGTAGGTACATTTATTTTCCCCATTTCACAGATGAGGAAATTGAGGTAACGTAAGAGACTTTCACAAGGTCATCTTAGCGATTAAGCAGCCAAGTCCGGATTGCTGTCAGTAGAGGGTGGTTGACGTTGGAATAACAGCCTAATTCTGGACCTGTACGAGCGTTAGGACGAGGCATGTAGGACAGGTGGACGCCTACTTGGGCGAGCAGTCTTAGCGTCCGGCGGGGGCGGGCCGGAGGCGGGGCCTCCGACTCGCGGTTCCCCACTAGCCTCCTCGGCCGCGTGAAAGTCCTGCCCCCAGCCGAGGACAGGTCAGGGATTGGCTCTCCCGAGGCCGATTGACGGCGCAGGGCGCAAGCCGGGGCCGCGGCGGAGGCGGGGCCGCGAGCAGGAAGTGGGAATAGAGGCGGCGTGAGGCGGGCTGGCCGGCGGACAGCGGCCGCCACTCTGCCGGGTCGCCGCTACCACTGGGGAGATGGAGGGGCCAGGACTGGGCTCGCAGGTGAGTGCGGCCGGGCGCTGGCTGTCCCGGGGGCCCAGGGGGCGGCGGCGACTGTGAGGAGAGGGAGGGCGTGGAGGTGAGGTAGCTCCCAGAGGGGCCTCCGGAGGCGGCGGGGCCGGGTCTAGGGCGGGGTAAGCCTGGAAACCGAGAATGCTGCAGGGAATTCTCTCCGAGACGACCGGGAAGAAAAGGAGAGGGCACACTGATAAGTGCCATACCGGCCCTCTAGGCTCCACCCGCGGGCCGGGGCCCCCCTTGGGGCCGGTACCCGCCTTGCGCGGCAGGGACCGCTGTGGGGCCTGGGAGGGGAGCGTGGCCGTTCCTGGAAGAGGTGTTAGGTGACACACCTGAGTTGGACCACCCCGCCTTGACCTTGGCCTGGAGTCTGTGAGGTTCTGTTGGTTTCTTTTTCTGCCGTGGCACCTGGAACCCGCCTTCGCCCCACCTAGCCCTGTTTCAGCCCTTGTTCTCACATCCTTGCTTACGCGAAAGATTTGAGGCAGTTTAGGCTGGAGAAAGGGGGCTGAAAAGGGGAGCATGTTATCTTTATCTGCAAAATCCCAAGGGACTCTAGTCTGCGTAGGCGGTCTTAATAGAAACCAGATGTAGTTCGAGGAAACAGAAAGGACCAATAGGGGAAGTTATCTGATGTACATGTTAGCTCCAATAGAACAAGATTTTTGTCCATTTTGCTTATGGTGCTGACTGGCATATTATAGAAGTTCGCTTAATATTTGTTAAATACGTGAATATTCAGATTCAGCCAACATTTAATAAGTGCTTAGCCTATGCCAGATGCTTTTATATGCATTATTTGATTCCAGAATTGAAGCATCCTTAAGAGGACGATATCTCCATTTACAGATGAGAAAACTGAAGCTGTCTCCAGTTGGAGTGAGTTAGGTAGTAGATTTTCTGTCCCTAGTGGAATTCAAGCAATTTGAGATGATTGGATTAGTTGGCCTCTAAAAAACACCTTTCCAATCTTGAGAGCATTCCTCACACTCCCCCTTTCCCTTCGTTCTTTCAACAGTCTGATGTAAGTTTAAGTGAGAAACAAGACAGGTGGAGAAGTTGTCAGGTGTTCTTGGATTTTGATACAATAAAAAAGGTTTGCAAGCAGACTGGATATTATAAAAGGGTGTAGAATCTTCAAAGGGAAACTGTCTTTTTTTATCCTTTCAGAGAGTTTCAAGGAAAATTTGGTAGGAGTAATTATCCTATCTTAATTACTGCCATTCATTTACAGAAGCCTTCAAGTGCTTAAAGTTCATTCCCTCATGCTGAAGGGAGGATTGCCCTGCCTAAATTCCCTGACAGATGGAGGGAGAGAATGATTCAGAGGTTGAAATTAATGGGGCAAGGTAGAGAGATCATTGTTGTTAACAATAATTACTATTAACTTTTTCAATAATAAAGATCTTACCTGTTTACAGTGCACTACAGTTTGCAAAATACTTCCATCTTCTTGATCCTCACTGTAACGCTGTGAGGTGGAGAGGGATTATTACTCCAGTTTGAGAGATTAGAACTGAGGCTGAAAAAATCGGAGTCATTTGTTAAAAGTCAAATAGCTGCTAAGTGACAGAGCAAGACTTCATTTGCTCTACCAGATGTTAGGCACTGTTACAGGTGCTGACGATAAATCAGAGAACAAAACAGACAAAAACATTCCTGCTCTGATTGAATCTGGTTTCCTGATTCCAGCTTTAGTGCTGATAGGTTTTTGCCAGAATCTGCCCATACTCTCTGGTTCCCAGTTTCCTCTCTCAGCTCATTTTTTACTACTTTCTTGTTTGGTCAGTAAACCATGGCCCCACTTGCCCCATGGCCTTTGTACTTACTATTCGCTCTGTCTGCAGCACTCTTTTCTCATATACCGGTATGGCTTATTTACCCAGCCTTTGTAAGGTCTTGACACAGATGTCACCTCAATGTGGCAAGCCCTCCCTTCCCATCATCACTGTGACCAGCAACATTCCCTAGTCTCCTTCCTTGCTTTATATTTCTTCTCAGCATTTAATACCATTAACAAACTATATAAATAATTGTCTGATGGGTACTTAACTCTAGTACTTCTGCTAATGCAATGAGAAATCTTAATGGCTGTCAGACCTTTATTTCTCTCTTTGTTTCATTTGATAATCTGTCAGGATTTTGACCCTCATCAGTGTTTAAGTATGGTTTTCTAGATCTTGGTTTTCACTTAACTCAATATACTTTAACTGTACTTGTTTACTACTTAGAAAAATAATTTGATTCTCTATATTTCCATGTGAGAAATATATGATCTCTTATATCTTAACTATGTTCCAGTCATCTATTGCTGTGTAACAAACCATCCCAAATCATAGTGGTGTAAACCAGCCATTGTCATGCTCATGGACTGTGTGTCAGGATTTTGGACAGGGGAAAGCAGGGATGCTTTGTTTCTACTCTGCCACATCTGGAGCCTCTGCTAGAAAGACTCACCATCTGGGATGACTTGATAGCTGGGTCTGGTGTCATCTGGTGGTATCCTCACTGACATGTCCAGCAGTTGATGCTGACTTTTTAGCAGGGACACTTGCATGTGGCCTGGGCATCTGGACAGCATGGCGGCTGAGTTCCAAGAATGAGCATTTCAAAAGGTAGAAAGTGGAAGCTGCTACTTATTAAGTGCTGAGTCTGCAAACTGGCAGAGCATCACTTCTGCAGTGTTTTATTACTGAAGCAGTCACAGAACTCAGAGTTGAGAGGAAGGGATATAGACTTTCTCCTCTTGATGGAGAAGTAGCAAAGAACTTGGGGGCTTTGTTGTAAAAATCACCATGGGTGTATCCGTAGCTCTCATATATAATTTTTACAATGTTCTGCTTTTTGTCTCCCTGTGGAGGAGAATATTCAGTTAGCTACAAGTCTATTTTGGTATTCTTGACCCCCCTCCTTTTTTTAAAAAAATTAATTAATTATTTATTTGTTTGTAAACATTTTTTAAATTGTAGTTATAGTCATTTTACAATGTTG